CTGATGAAGTGTTATCCTTAGATATTGCCATTTCTTAATATCGATCGTATTAAACTTCATGAGGCTAATGAAGAAAATGTATGTATTCTTGCATCGTTTCCACATACCATAGTTATGTATGAATTGTAAGTACGTAGTTGAAATATTTCGCTCATTTGCCCACAGCAAGCTCATGTTTCTGTAGGGAAGTAAGTACCTTTCAGTGCAAAGTATTTCTTTCGATTCGCGTGTGCAGCAGTTTCAAGAAGATTTCTCAGTCGTTTCGATCATTAATTATTTGGTTCAACTCTTTCGCCTAAATTCGGAGGCGGCAGTAACCCAGGTGCTCACTATAATTAAACTATTAATTCCTCGCTCTGTCCTTTACCTTTTTCCATATGGCTTGAGATGTCTGTTTTCCTAGTCCCGCCTTTGTTGTAGATCCTTGGAGTGGAACTCGTACGGATTCTTTTGGCAGAGCGACACAGCAGTCATTTCTGTGGCAGATCGAACAGGAGATATGGCTGGATGATAGCATTAGTCTGACATTGTCGAGCTATGACATTTCGTCAATGGAGCGAATGGCAGATGACCGGGATCATTCGAAAACTGTCTGAAAAAGTTGCACACACTATCTTACAGAAATATCAGCTGTTGATAAGTTAATTAGTAAATTAATATTTCCTTTAGGAAGACTTTTGCCAGTTTATACCGTCTTAGGTAAATCTTTCAGTCTTATACATTTTTAGTTTGTTGCTAAACCATCTCAGTTGCGATTATTCGATTTTGGAAAAGGAGATTTCACCATCTAAAATATATCCGACTTGCCGTTTTGAGTGGCTTACCGAGCCTTGTGTATCAACAGTCCTTAAAAAATAACTTCATTTCTGTAGATTAAGTGTGCGAGATCGCCCTCTTAAATGACTGATATCTAATTAGTGTAAATATTACTGTTTGTCTGCTACTGTTGATGAAATACAACATAAAAAGCATCTATTACAAATACTCTGCTTTCCAATAAAGCTGCAGTGTGATAGCTACATTCCAAAATATTGGGATTACCTTTTGTCCTTCCGTATGTTTCCCCACTGACAGTGACGCATTTAATTGGTGTTCGGGCGCTCCCTTATTCATCTAACTGAGTGATTCGGTCCTACATTCAATGCGCTGCGGATGCTCAAATACAGTGGAACGGTGGTCTGCTTAAATGGCCCCTTCCCCCGAGAAGATTGGATGCAAAGGGGACGGCTAACTTACGCCAAGTAAGTCTGATATCAGACAGTTATGAATACCGGAAGAATTTGAAAACTACAATTTGGTAGCTATCCGGGAGCGTCAGGGTTGCCTTTCGTCTAAACAGTTGAATAGTTAAGTTGTTGAATAGTCTAAGCCTAAGTACAAATTATTGTCGCTCCTTTCCTCCAGTTGTATCTTAGATTGTATTCTAAGTTTTAGAATTTTTGTGCCTATCTGATTACGCTTTCTGTGGCCAGTCTGCCAAATAGAATTTTATCTGTCAGGTTTGACTTAATCACTTAAATTTTTTAACGAATTCAAAAGATTTATTCACATTGCAAAGCAAGGAAACCACGTATTAAGTTTATAGCAGTTCAATTCATCGATTTGTTTTTATTCGAGATTTTAGCTGTAGTATGTAATATGGTGATTTCTTGCCCATTTTGCATATGATCATTTACTTTAATTCATTCGTGTACTCTACTATTTTGTCCGGTTTACCGGTGGCAGCGTCAGCAAGCTTCTTCAGTGGTTTTAATCTGCCGCTAATAGCGATTGGATGAAAAGCTTGAGGGTGCCAAGTGTTTAAAACAAATTCGAACCATCTAGCACCATCTAGCCCCATGTCCGCTTTGTTGCCTGCTTCCAGAAGATAATCGAATATCCAATTGGAGCATCAGTGTTTTAATAGGAGTAAAAGTTTTAATTATTATTTAGTGCATGTAATTGGTGTTGCATGTAATTACGCGGCTGTTTCCATTGCCACTGCAGGTTCATCTGCCTCGAAATTCTCGAAGCTTTGAGCTAAACTTTTGAGGATGTTTTCACAGCCACTATAAGCAGAGGTTCACCCATCAAGTGATCAGTGAGCAAAAACTGTTTAGCACTATCGCTGCCGAGGGCAGCATGATTTTGTGATAATTGAATATGTTTTTGATCTGTCTGTTGACTACAGATGGTTTGGAGATGAACTTCCAGGATTTTGAAAAGCTGAAAACGTTCGTGAAACAAAATTGGAGAAAGGAACTGGACGTCAGAGAGCCATGCGTTAAAGGGTGGAACTATGGAACAGCGAAGTTTGTCGGTAAACTGTTATTGCTTTTTCATATTTATTTGAATGCAGTGTTCGACCTTTTTATTTTTATAATTTTTAGGATCAATGCTTGAGTTCGAAGTGGACGACGAGTCGTGCTTCGACATACCTTTGGCACATGTCAGCAATTGCACCGCGACCAAAAACGAGGTGACGCTTGAGTTTCATCAAAACGATGACTGCGCCGTTTCGCTGTTGGAACTTCGATTCCACATACCTACTGACAACGCCATTGACGACGATAAAGCGGAGGTTTAAATAATGGCTGGAGCTAAGGCTACAGCTAATTTGGAAGTCGATCGTTGGTTGCTTACCACACATACATTTTAGCAGTTTCGCAAAAACGTCATGGAAGAAGCGGGTATCATTCAAGAAACAGGCAAAGCGTTGGCTCATTTCGATCAAATACTCTGCGCAACACCCAGGTATGTTATTAGTCTAGTGATCTTTCCATACACTCAGTGCGCTGTTGTATCAGTGTATCTTCAGAGGTCGCTATGACGTAAAAATATATCCTTCGTTCTTGTCTCTACATGGAAAGACATTCGACTACAAGATTCCCATCGCAACGATCCTTCGATTGCTTCTCCTACCTCATCAGGACGGCCGTAGGATGTTTTTTGTGGTTCGTAATATTTTTTTGTTGTCTTCGTAATGTTAGATTTTGTGTAAATGTCTAAAAATAATTGTTGCAGTGTTTTTTGGGTACCCTTTGCCCGTTCTCCTGATGTACTTGAAGTAGTCTAGGACTTTTTCCAGAAAATTGCTTTGTTTCCACGATAGGGAAGGGAAACACATCGCTGCCATCAAAAGTGAAATTTGCAACTCTTGCGTTGGCTCCATTGATATTTCCGCGGCGTGGAGCATGATTCATGACTTAATCGGAGGCCGAACTGGCGTCTAGCCAATCAGGTCAATTTCCAACTGACTCAGCAGTTTGTCGTTGTTTCTTGTTCTTTCCCTGATGATGACCGATGCCAAATCGGTTGAAACGCAGTTGTTGTAAATAAAACGATTTTTCTTGTTTTCTCATGCTACCAACCATGGAATCAGAAGACTTGTCACCTTCAAGACATCTTCAACACAGTATCAGTATGAACCTTCAGAACTGTTTTAAAGAAGAGCAGGTAAAATAAATTAAAAGAGGTTGAATTGAATAATTCTGCAAATGGTGAAGAAACAGGTAGACAAAGAAAGCGACTAAGTAGGGCATGAAGGGGAAGAAGCTCAAGGTAATGTAGAACATGAAAATGGAGACTTGTTAGAAATACGAAAGGAGTAGAGTATGTGTATGAAGAGGAAGAATAAGCCGAGAGAGAAAATGTGGGAGTGGTGAAAAGGTGATGAAGAAAGAAATTTCTGCAAAAGAAAACGAAAACATAGAGAAAGAGTAAGAAGAAGTGAGGGAAAAGTGAAGTACTCGAAAGAAGTGAAGACGCGGAATTAATATAGGATAGAGAAGAAAAGGATCGAAGGATGGATGGAAAGAAGAAGAAATAATTTATGCTGCCCATAAATGCTGCTTTTTGTTGTAGCGGTTTGGTCACTTGACTAAGCTCATATTCGAGATTAGGCCTGTTCAACCTAATAGTCCATAATTAAATTTGAATACATTCTTGTTTGGAATCCGGATTAAGAAGGAGAATGCTCTCGTCGCACGGTTTTTGAACGTTGGACCTGTTTCGCAGCAAAAAGGTAATTGCCGTGTTCCGTGACTGTTAGCAAAACATTTAGAGCAGCTGGATACA